AGCAAGACTCCACATAAGCCGAAAAGAGCAGTCTGTCCTGGAAATATACAGACTAAAAATAATTGTTACTAAAGTAAGGAAACAAATGGGCAGCGTTGATTTTAAAAACCTCAATGTCTGTGTTTAATTTATTTGTTTTTATTTTTGCTTTTAACATCTCACTCGAAATGGATACTTTTAGAGTGGGAAGTTTAAATGTAAATGGAGCCAGAGAGGAAAGAAAGAGGGCTTTAATATTTCAGACTGCAAAAATAAAACATATCGATGTCCTCTTTTTACAAGAGACGCACAGCAACGTTTTTAATGAGACGGACTGGAGAAAGGAGTGGGAGGGGGAAGTCATTTTAAGCCACAACACCTCTCTTAGTGGGGGGGTGGGCTTCCTCCTCTCCAAGTCTTTTAGTCCTGTCTCTCTGGAGGTCGAGCATTTTATCAATGGGAGGTTGCTTTTAATAAAAGCACGGTTTGACCTTTTTACAGTTGTTTTTATAAATGTGTATGCTCCAACAAACGGTACAGACAGGAAGCTGTTTTTACTCAAAGTTAATGATGTTTTAAACGGTTGTGCCACGGAGGATTTCTTATTCTTGGGTGGGGATTTTAATTGTACAGAAAATGCATCTTTAGATCGCAACCATGCAGAGCATCCAGCATCCCAGCATGCTCTGAGGCAGCTGGTCCACTCCCACGGCCTGGTGGATGTATGGAGGAGGATGCACGCAGACAACAGGCAGTACACCTGGTCCCACATCAGAGAGAATAGAATCTCATGAGCTAGACTAGATCGTTTTTTATTGTTTTAAGCATCATATCACCTGCTGGTTTTACGGATCACTCTTTGCTTTTATGTAATGTTTTTATTAGAAATGTTTTTCCCAGAAGTGCATATAGCTTGGTTTCACTTGACGTCACACCGCTGCGTTCCTTTGGCGCAAAATTCCATTGGAGGTCAGGAAGTAATTTTCTACAGAGGATCTAGCTGTTGTTACCATTGTGAAAATGCCGGTGTGTTGTGTAGTTTACGGTTGTTCCAATCGATCCGGCCGAGAGAAAGACAAGAGGTTTTACCGAGTGCCGAAGGTTGTCGTCCATAAAGCTGAGCAATTTAAGAAGCTAACCGAAGAACGCCGGAAAAAATGGCTTTCAAACCTACATCTGCGGTCGGGAGGAGCAGAGTCGTCTAATGCACGGGTCTGCAGCGACCACTTCATCAGAGGTATTAGCTAACTTGGTTTTTGTGGCTTTGTTTAGGTATTATTGGGTTGTGGTTAAATGCGTATTTACCTAGTAATACTGTTCATATTTAAGTTACCTGTAGTCTAATATGGACTTTGTTGGGACTTTTTAGGGTGCCCTAGCGCTTTGGGTGACGTTGAGTCGGTAGACTGGGCTCCCACTGTTAGCCTCGGTTACCACACAACAAGTAAGCCCAGATCTGACAGCCCACAACCAGAGGACACCAGTGGGATATTAAATGACCAACAAGGTAAATTAACCACCAGCATTATTATTAAATATTACAAATGTGATTGTCAGAAAATCAATGCAAACTTTGAATTAGGTTTAGAAAATAGAGTACTAACTTGAGAACTTGCATGTCTGTAAAAAGGTTGTCAAAAAGATAACTTCACAACAATTCACATTCATATTTGACTATTTTAAATAACTAATTATGCTTGCTACTGCTATATTGTATGCAGATGCAGGATGCCAGACTGATTTAACGATGGAGGACATCGAGAGGATGTTCTGAGACAGAACACAACAGAGCTGGGAGATCTTCGGACAAAGGCACTGGACACAAAGTTCAACCAGGAGTCCTTTGAGAACAACGAAGAGAAAACAAAGTTTTACACCGGGCTCCCCAACTTCTTAGTTTTACTTCAGGTTTTTCAACTGTGCGAGCCCTACGTCTGTGCTCTCCAAATTTGAACAGTTCATTTTAGTTTTGCTGAGGCTGAGACTAAATCTCCCTCTGAAAGATTTGGTTTTCAGGTTCAACATCTCTCTCTCCACTGCTTCTAGAATTTGGCATAAGTTAATTGACATACTTCACGAGAGTACAGAATTTATAATTGAGTGGCCAGAGCGACATGTACTTCAAGCTACAATGCCAATGGGATTCAGACAGGCATTTGGATGTAGAGTTGCTGTGATTGTTGACTGTTTTGAAGTTTTTATTGAGAGGCCCTCTAATTTACTAGCTAGAGCACAAACATGGTCCAACTACAAGCATCACCATACTGTTACATTTCTGATTGGTGTTGCTCCCCAAGGCTATGTCACTTACATATCTTGTGCCTGGGGAGGAAGAGTTAGTGATAAACAGATCACAATACAGAGTGGGCTCCTAAAAAACCTGTTACCTGGAGATATTGTCCTAGCAGACCATGGGTTCGATATTGCCGATAGTGTGGGATTTTACTGTGCTTCACTAAAGATGCCTGCATTCACCAGGGGGAAAAGTCAGCTGTCAGCATACGAGGTGGAAGAGACAAGAAAAATAGCTAATGTGCGTATTCATGTCGAAAGAGTCATAGGATTAGTCAGAAGAAAATATCAGATTCTGCAAAGCAGGGCTGTGCCCATAGAGCACATGCTAACAAAACCAGGTGAGGCACTAGCATTAATTGACAAGATTGGGGTTATTTGCTGTGCCTTGTCTAATCTGTCAGTGTCTGTCGTCCCATTGGAGTAAAGTCATGGAGCTGTAGTCTTGTAAATAAGAAACCATGTATTATTCAGTATCATTTAATCTTTTCAGTAAACATCTTTTTGTGTTGAAAATTGTGTAGCCCTACTCAATATACAACTTTCATCTACATTCAGGCTTAATTCATTCAACAATATTCTAGAGATGACAATTGGTCTGGTGACGCTCCCATGTATGGCCATTGAGGGTTATTGTAAATGTAAATAAGAAACCATGTATTATTCAGTCTTAGTATCATTTAATCTTTTCAGTAAACATCTTTTATACAATAGCAATATATCACACAGCCCTACTTCCTCTAGTGAGTGTGGTCAGTGAATATGAAGGTGCTGTAATGCAGGTTAAAGAGCTGCCACTGTGCAAATAATAATGCAACAAGGAGAGAACCACAACCTCCGGGACCAGGACAGACCACAGGTGCCGGTAATCACGCCTTCTCTCCCTCCTGATCATCTTGCAACTGAAACTGAAAAATGGAACAGCAGACAGGGAGAGGAGGCTTTTAGTCACCTGATAGTTATGCACTATCATGTTCTTGTGGAAAAAAATGAGCACACCAACTCTTTATGACTTTTACCTTTCCCCTTGTAAGTTGCTGTCCCAACACTTCAGGGAGAACACATAGTCTGAAGAAACTCAACTCTGGGAATGATGTTGTCCCACAGGTCCACATCACGCACAATTCTCTCTACAAAGAGGTCATTTTTAGTCCAGACAACAAAGTCGCAGTAGTCAACGTCAACGACGTGGAGCTGAGCCTGTATTTGATGGTAGTAGGCATGTCTCCTGTCCAGCTTCACAGTGCCCCCATCGTTGACGAGACAGAAGCCCTGTTCTCCAGCACACAGGCGAAGATTGGCCTCCTCTTGTTTGCTGTGTGGGCACTAAAAGTTCAATGAAAAGAAAAGCAATATATTGTACTGTAAATAAGTGTCTGCAGCTCAAAATGTATTGGGAGAGGATCCCCAGACTCAGGATCACGTCACAATCCTATACTTACCCGCTTTACTGTAGCACAATACTGAACAAATAACTTACCTTTATCTGGCAGGTGCACGTGACACCTCCGTCTGGCGACGCTCCCATGTATAGCCATTGAGGGTTCAGCCAAAGCCCGCTGTCTTTACAGCTGAAACCCTGGTGGTGCAGACTTTGTACTCCTTCATACTGCTTTCGGGCAGTTGCCTCGTATTTGCATCCATACCTGTAATGTATACAACAAGGAACAGAAATAGAACATTGTACATTATAAAACGGACAAGTCAAATCAAGCAATCTGATTGGTTCTTAGCCGTGATATAATCAGCGTATACCACGGGTAGAATTGTAAGTTACTTTTCACAACAAGTCGGTATCCCTCCGCGTCTGAGAAACTGTATACAGTTGCGTTGAAAAGCAAACTGCCTGCAGTTTGCTTTTCAAACTGGAACAAGGAAGCAGCGGAGAAGTAACGGGGCAGAAACCCTCCTTTTTACGCAGCGGTCCAGACGCTTCGCGTCGGGCCGAACCACGCCCCTTAGCTGTGATATAATGAACAAATACCACGGCCTGTCGTGAGTTATTGCTTAATTATACCATGGTCTGGGTGAATACTCCATTCTGATTGGCTCCCTAATCCCTAATAAATACCTTGTTGCAGCTGTAGAGAACTTGTGTGCCTCTGGGTAGCATATGGACTTGATCAAGGACTTTGATGGCTGTGCAAGACTAGTCTGTAGAACCTGCTTCAGTCTTGAGGCTGTGATCCTTCCTGCTCTTTGGCTAAACCATATAGGTGATAAGCTCTGGTTTCTGGTCTCCTCCTCTACTGCCTGTGGCTGTGTCAGCTCTTCCTGTCTGAAGTCCTGGCATGCGTTCTGCAACTCTGTTGGGGATAGCTGTAGCATCTCTGGTGTCCTATACTGAGGTAGTGGTTTAGGTAGCTTGCTCACAGATTTAGGGACAAATTCTCTGTAATATGGTTCCCTGGACATCAGTGCAGCACTTCTTGGGGAATTTCTGCTCAAAGTCTTGAAAAACTGCATATACCTCTCTGATCCTCGCTCCAATTTTGAACCCTGGACGCTGAAATGTGTGCTTCTCACCTGTCCTTCCAGCAATGGCATCATCCAGTTTTTGCTTTTTGGATTTTGCGGATGAAAAGTCTATCATCGCAACTGGAGCAGCAGGAATCTGCACATGTGAGAGACAGACCAACATGTATGTGAACATACATGTAGGTGCAGTGTAACAATGAGACAGGCAAGGACGGCATGAACAGCTGACTGACCACTGGGGTCTGAATACCTTTTTGACATGTGATGGCATTAGCCACTTGTGGTGCAGGATGCAGTCTCTCTCATCTTCACACCTGCTTCGATTGCAAACAGAACTGCTCCAACATGTGAGCAGGATTCTGACAAACTGTATAGACAGAGACATACTAGAATAACTAGATTGATCGTAAAAGCTAGTAATGGTATAACATGAATATTATAGCAGGCATTATTTTGTCTGAGCTTAAGTGTTGTGTCAAATATGCTTTGGGTTGGGATATTTATTTTATGACTTACCCAGCCATACAGTTACAGTGTGCTGTAACAACCTCTCCATCTTCTTTAGCTACAATCCACGTTTTTAAATGGTGTTTCTCCAGACCTCTGGGAATGGTTGACCTACACAATTGAAGCTCCAGTTCACAACTTGCGAGTTGGTAACATACATTTAACAACATCAAGCCATAGCTAGCTAGTATAGTTATGTTACGTCCCCAGCTCGTTTCGGGGTAAAAGGGAAGCAACACATAACCAGATGGTCTTGGTAAAGAGGTTGTTTTTAATATTAACCTCAACATAGAGTGATATAAACAACGTGCAGGCTGTTCAAAGGCTCTGAGCTGTCTGTACACAACAGTACACAAAAACGAAGGCCACAGAATATCACAGTCACGAATCAGGACACTTAAGACATAACTGGTGAGACGTTTCGCACAAGTACAACGCCGTCACCAAAACACAATATATCCTAAGCTAAACACATACACTCACATCAATATCCTAAGTACGCACCCGAGTTAACCTCTGTTAACAATATCGTAAGGACACACACATAAGCACCAATAACACACAAACATTCTGAGGTATGGTAGCATGGCGTCCTAGCACAGATCCAGCGCCCCGAATGTCAACAACGTCGCAGCTTAAGTAGCGTCATCAAGAGGAACGAAACAACGTCGCCGACGCGGTAACCATAGTACCTACATGTAATCATAACACACATACACATATATATACACACACAGACAGACAGAACACTCACAGGCCAGTTAATGCTGAAGGCAAGGCGACAGCCGTAACACTGCCTTACATGAGTCCATGTAGCTAAAGTTAGCTAGCTGTCTCCTAATAATGCTACTTAGAGGTAAGAAGGTATAGGTAGTTAACACTCACCCGGGCAAAAACAAGGCGACATTTGTTTAATGCCTTTTTGGTGCCGAGGTCATTCACCCATCCACACACGAAGTAGTTGAAAGCTTCCAGGCTTTTATACGCTTTCATTTGGCTAGCCGTGTAGTAGGAGGTATGAAGGACGAGGTAGCTGGTGATATCCATCGCCTCGACAGCGGGCAAATCGGATAAATCACAAGAAAAGTCGCTCTTTTTCAGCTGATACGGATCGTATCCGATGTGTGCTGTGATTTTTTCACGATATCTGCGGCGTGCAGGTTAATTTAATTGTTTGACATAGTCGGTGTCCTCCATGATTCCTGCGTTGATGAATGATTGCGTTTTCACTTCCTGACCTCCACTTGAATTTCGCGCGTCGTAGAAGTCACGTGACTGAAACCAAGCTATTGGCATTTTAACTCGGTTTTAACATTTGACAAACATTTTAAAGAGGCCCTTATTTATTTCTGGAGTGTTTTTAGGCAGAGGAAGGGAGATTTTAGCAGTCTTAGGCAGTGGTGGGACCATGGTAATACTGAGATAAGATTGCTCTGCCAACAGCACACCCTCAATGTCACACAAGACATCATTAGATCTATGAAAGACCTGGAGAGTGATATAGTGGAACAAGAAACAATAAGTGAGACCACAGGAGATCGAGGATATATTCAAATCCTCAAAGAGAAAAAAATGGCTTTAGCCAACCTGCTGGACGTTAAAGTTCAGGGTGCACTAGTCAGGTCCCGGTTCCTCAACACTAATGAGATGGATGCTCCCACTAGCTTCTTCTTCGGCCTGGAGAAAAATAATGGGCAGAGGCGAGTGATCCACTCACTGCTGTCAGACACAGGGCAAGAAATAACGGAGGCGAGCTGTGAGCTTTTATTCCACCCTCTACACAAGCGAGTATGAGGAGGGGGAAACTCTGTTCGAGGGGTTCTGCAACGAACTACCTCAGGTCTCCGAGGAGACCAACTCACAGCTCGAAGGCCCGTTAATGATCCAGGAGCTGCAGACCGCCCTGCAAGGCATGCAGGGACGGCGGGCTCCTGGTATCGATGGCCTCTCCGTAGAGTTTTACAAAGCCTACTGGGACGTCTTGTCATATGACCTTTTAGACGTTTTTAATGAAAGTCTGGCCTCTGGCTCTATGCCGATGTCCTGCAGGAGAGCGGTGATCACGCTGCTACCAAAAAAAGGAAACCTGCAGGATATCAAAAACTGGCGCCCTGTGTCTCTGATGTGTGTGGATTACAAACTTCTGTCCAAGGCTTTGGCCACCAGGCTGGGGAGGGCTGTGGAGCAGGTCATCCACCGGGACCAGACCTACTGTGTGCCCGGCACAAACAATTCGAGATGTTTTGGAGGTCTCCAGCTCATTGGGCATTAATACTGGTCTGATTTCTCTAGATCAGGAAAAAGCTTTCGACCGCGTTGAGCACAGCTTCCTCTGGAAAGTAATGGAGAAGTTTGGGTTCAGCGCTGGTTTCATAGCCAAGATCAAGGTGTTGTATAATAAGATTGAGAGTGTGCTGAAGTTCAACGGTGGGCTGTGTGCTCCTTTTAGAGTGTGTAGAGGGGTCCGACAGGGCTGTGCTCTATGCACTCTCCCTAGAACCCCTCAACAAAATACGCTACAAACTGCAAGGGCTGCTTTTACCTGGTTTTAGTGGAGGCATGGTTTTATCAGCATATGCAGATGATATCATTGTTAGAGACCAAAAAGATACAGACATTTTAGTTAACATCGTGAGGGATTTTAGTTCAGCATCAGCAGCGAGGGTGAATTGGAGGAAAAGTGAGGCCCTCGCTGTCGGTGAGTGGAGTGGCGGTCTCCCAGTTCTTCCCCAGAACATGATATGGAAGAAAGATGGGCTAAAGTACCTGGGTGTGTTCCTGGGTAATAAAAGCATAGTCCTGAAGAACTGGGAGGACGTCATAGGAAAGATAGAGGGAAAGTTGTCCAAGTGGAGGTGGCTGCTCCCTCAGATGTCTTTTAAAGGTAGAGTGTTGGTTTTAAACAACCTTGTGGCATCCCAATTGTGGCACCGTCTTACCTGTGTGGACCCTCCCTCAGGCTTACTAGCCCAAATACAAAATAAGTTGGTAGATTTCTTTCGGGAGGGTCTACACTGGGTGCCACAGGGGGTGCTGTTTTTATCTAGAGAGGAGGGGGGACAGGGCCTTATCCACCTGGCCAGCCGAACAGCCACTTTTAGGATACAGTTTTTACAGAGGTATCTGACTGGCCCGGCTGATTTGGTCTGGAGAGATGTGAGCAGCTGCATTCTCCGACGCGTGAGTAACATGGGGCTGGAAGCTGCTCTGTTTTTAACTGATTTAAACATTTTAAAGTTAAGTGGGCTACCTCCTTTTTATCAGGGTGTTTTTAAATCTTGGGCCCTTTTTAACCATAAAAGGTGTCCAAAGACTGACTCTCTGTACTGGTTGTTGAAAGAGCCTCTGATTCACAAAGCCAGGTTGGACGTCAGCAGCAGCGAAACACCCGGCCTGACGGTGGCGCTGAGCCGATCCAAGACCCTGTGCCTTCAGCAGCTGGTGGATGCAGTGGGGCCGGAGCTGAGCGATGCCCGGGCCTTGGGCTCTCTGCTGGGTCTGCACTCTGTCCGGGTGGCCGAGAGGATCCTACAACTCTGGAGCCAGATCTTCTCCCCTGATGACAAAAGAATGTTAAGGAGCTACGGACAGCGAAAAGCCAAGCCGGACCCAGCAGACCCTTTCCCGGAGATCTACCTGAGCCCAGGGCTCAGAGAACTGACCGGCCCCCTGCTCAAGGTCGCAAACCAAGGACAAATGACCATCCACAAAGCTGACAAGAAAACAATATACATGAACATTGTAAAGACGACCAACAAAAATGCACTGAAGGACAGGGCCTCCACTGTGTGGAGCACCAGACTGGGTGCAGGAAGCGGACCAGGCCCACAGTGGAGGATTTTATACAAACCTCCCATTAAAAAACGTACTGCCGACCTCCAGTGGATAATTTTACACGGTGCCATCGCCTGTAATTCTTTTATCTCCATTATTAATCCTGCTGTTTTTAACAAGTGTCCATTTTGTGGTTTTAGAGAGACTGTTTTCCATGTTTTTACAGAGTGTAAGAGACTCACGGGTTTCTTCTCTCTTTTAACATTGGTTTTTAGTCTTTTAGTATAGCTTTTACCGAGAGTGTTTATCATGGGGGCTCCATATAAAAAGACGAACAAGGAAAAGTGGCAGCTCCTGAATTACCTCTCTGGCGAAGCAAAAATGGCCATTTATTTAAGCAGGAAAAACAGGGTTGAAAATAAGAAAGGGGAAGAGGCAAAAGCGATCTGTCTCTGTAACATCAGAGCCAGACTCTGCCTGGAGCATCGTTTTTATAAACACATTGGAGACTTGGACGCTTTTACACAGCGTTGGTGTTATGAGGATATTGTGTGTTCTGTGGTGGATGAGGATTTGCACAAGTTTTTAAGACATAGGTTTTAATGTATTATTTTAAGTGATTTGTTTATTTTATTGCACAATGAAGCACTTTATTGATCGAATGTATAATTGATCGTATGTAAATAAAGTGTTTTTGCAAAAGTCAAAAATTCTTCTTCTCTCGGTTTTTTGGCGGATTGCAAACAACTTTAAGGTGCATACCGCCACCTCCGGAGTCGGCTTGACTCGGTTTGCATTTATAAAGAATGCACAAATGTGTTTAATCGTTAATGTCAGATATGTACTAAGTAAATAAATGTGTTCCTGCTCAAGATTAGATTCAACTTTATTGTTATTACACATATTACAGGTACTGAGACAATGAAATGCACTTTAGCTTCTAACCAGGTGCAACAAGCAGTAAAGTGAAAAGTAATGTACACAATCTACAGAATAAAATATAGAATGAATTGAATGATGAAAAAACAGTGAGGGGTAGGAATACACGGTAGCATATTCATACACTGCTCATAGGCTAAGATATATAAAGTATGACAACGGTAAGCAGTGCAAGTATAGTAAATATATAGATATTCATTTCATGATGATAAACATTGTGGAACAATGATGAAAAATGGGAATGGAAGTGGCGACGTAAAACTGACACAAAACAACAACAAACTTTTGCCGAGCCAATTGGAGAGTTTCATTACCAGCACGGGGTAAAAACCACCAATGAGCGCTCAGCTCGAGATACCAGCGAGACGTTTCCCATCAAGCATTTCGCTTCCGCAGCCCGTGGAGAGGAACTGCGCCGCCTCGCCGAGCCTCGCTCTCAAGGCTGCGGGCGTCTTTGTCCCGCGAGATTTCAACATCTCATGTAGGCGAGCCTCCAGAGCAAGTCGGACAAAATGACTAACCATCATGCAACGCACTAGCAAGACGTTTATCGCAACTGCGCAGGTCTCGCTTGTCTCAAACAAGCCTATTCTCATCACCTTGGTCACTCACGAGTCTAAAAAACAACTCACGTCAACGCACGTAAGCAACGTGGGCGCCCTCGTGACCAAAATATTTGACGGCGCTGATTGGCTGAAATTATGTTTCGGCGGCACAGTTTACTATTGAGACTTTTGCAACGTGCTAGTTGCTGCTGTTTGGCTCGGGGGCTCCTTGCACGGCGCCTGGTAATGATAAACTAATGCCACGGGCAAGGCCAGGCAGGAAACATGTGATTTATATAAATATATTTTTTTAAATATATATTTTTTAATTTTATATATTTTTTTGTATGTGGGAAGAGGTGGGGCGGCGTCCCTAGCGCCCCTATGGGCCGGCCGCCACTGTATGTAGTACTGTTTCACCTTCACCTTAGCGTTAGCTCCGCTAGCGTCACATTGCCCATAACTATACATAACTGCCTGAAACAACGATTAGACATATCACACTCAATCACAACACGTATACCCCTTATACTGGGACACTATGGTGTCATTTGAAAGACTTAGAACCACCTGTATATGACAAACACACGAGGCAGAAACGTTAGCTGTTTGTAGCTCAACTGCAGGATTTAATCTGCAGGTTTCTGCCCTTGCAGGGTTTTAGATCCTCCCGAGTGGTATCACCCTCTAGTGATCAGTCTGCCACACAGTTGCAATGTAATGTATTTTAATTATTTCTAAAGAGACATCAACAATAAA